CACGCATAGTCGCACGTCGGCATCACAGGGAACGGCTCGCACAAGAGGTGCTCGGCACATGGGCCGATACATAACTTGGCGTGGGTTGAGATGCGACACCCCAGCCTTCTACGGGCAGACAAGGGGCCGCGTCGAAGCTGTTGTACGGCAGAGCGAGGGGCGAAAATGCAGAATTGGGAGACGTGCTGCACGAGTAGGCCGGGACTGGCGAGTAGTGAGACTGCATGCCAGATGCAAGCTCGTAGTCGTGGTAGGTAGGGAACGGGTGCTGGGCGAGATGCTGTTGTGCTGGCGCCGACATCTGGCCGTGATAGTAGGACGAGGGGTGCCAGCTGAGGGGGCGGCTGGGTCGAGTTTGAGAACTTGGCATCTCCTGCGTGAGGGGCCAAACATTCTGGTCCACAACCTGTTGCCTTCGCCTTGCTGCCAGAGAACCGTCGCCCATCAGTGTCCTCCGCCTGGCCGCCATGGTTGATCTCGGACTGCTGTTGGCACTGGTAGGCTTGACAACTCGCATGGCGGTGCTCATGGCACTTCCCGCTCGTTGCTGACAGTTCGAGCCCCTGGAAAGCCGTCGGGAGGCCTGTGAGATGGCCATCTGTCGAGATAGATCGTCCATAAAGGCGTCTGAAGGGTGCTGCTGGTACATGGCCGCGGACGGGCCGGCTTGGGCGACGCCCAAGTATGAGGACATCATCATGAAAGGGTCGATTATGATATGAAGGGGGTTGAGCGTTGATGGTTAAATGGTTGCGTTGATGGCTAGGTGTGAATTCAAAGTGATGAAGAGTGGTCGAGGATGGAGGATATGGGTTGGGTCGTTGTTATACGTCGAGTCGGAAGTTGGGTGTATGTGGGTGGGATATTGTACCACGGGCTGCTCCAGTTGCTGGGTGCCAAGGGAGCGGATATTGCTGGGAAGGGGGGGAGAAAAGATTGGTCTGATGGAGAATAAAACAAATCTTTGCCTAGCTCCAGGAAGAACAACATTTCAACAAGTGGACCGACAGGAAAGACAGGTGTAATAAAGAGGAAGGGCCAGACATGGTAGCTGGGCATGTGTGATGGGCGTCGGCCATAGTACGGGTTGCATGGGTGATGGGTTGCCGTCTAGAGTAGCATGTCAACGAGGATGTGTCTGTGGACGGGCACGTACCGCCGCCGCCGCCGCACAGCACAAGGCGACCAGGGGGGGTGGGCGTCGCAGTCCACGTAGGGTACGTACCGCTTCACGGTGTCTGACTTGACTTTTTGATGGCTACGTTGTAAGGGTGGGCGGCGTCATACGGCCGGGGGCAGGGGTGCCATCGTCACCAGGTGAAGGCTTCAGTCGGTAGGCCCGCCACGATGACCACTCGCATCGGGCAGGCTTGGCTCTCGACGTGCTGCCGGGGCATGGGACGGACTGGTGATAGCGCTGGGTCGGTGGGTTGCCCGCTCTCCATCTCTCTCTCGCTCTCTCTGTGTCCCTGAGTGCGCTGGCTGGCTGAGGGGTGGGTAACCCGCTCACTCGCCAACAATAAATGACACTACGTTATGTACGAATCGTGGCTGCGGTGCGGGTACGGACGACTGGGTGCATGTGCCGCTTGGGAATCGCCCACCGGTCGCAGAGCCATTTTCCCACGACGGCTCGGACGGGGTTGCAAGGCTATCGCCAGGTAGCGTCGTACCCGCTCCTCCTAAAGATGGGTGGATGATCAAGGGTTGAGGAAATGTGGGAAGGAAAAAGAACATGGATGGAATGTCTCGTGTGGAAAAGAACCCGCTCGGCCCAGGCGCTCACACCCTGCAGCAACATCAAGAGTCTGGAGACAGGTGGGGAGCATCAGGTGCGGTACTCTGCTGAAAGTACAGGTCAGCCAATCCCTGTTGGGTTGTGCAACTGCGACGTGACGGTAAAGGGGACGCGTTGGACAAAGTCAAGGGAGCCCCCCATTCTTTGGGTATGTTACGGAGGGCGTAAACCTATCGCATTGAATCGAGGGTCGATCAGCGCTGACGAATCGCCTGTCACCCTGTGCCTGTGGACTGGGGGCATCCCTCTCAGACTGCCAGCGGGAGGAGATCGAGGAGGGGTGCACGAAGAAGACGCTTAGACCACTAAAACCCTGGATATGGAGCCAACGTGCTTGGAACGACGGGGACGGGCGGTGGGCAAGGGGATGTGCGTCTTCGCCTGAGAACCAATTTACGGTTTCTGCCAAAGTGCCTGATGGGGTGCCACCAAACAGCCAGTACTGCTGAGTGGATGGATGGGTGGACTCTGTAGGTGAAGACCCAAGATGGCTGCCAATCTCATCTGGCGCGTAGCCTGCTCCGAGACAGTTCTACCTGGTAAGGAGTGACGATTTCATCAGACTGGCCCGAGGCATGGCCTTTCGCCCGTGTTGAATCCCTTCCCCTCTCACACCCGCAATGCTCCAGTGCACCATCGATCTGCACATGCTATCAAGTAGGCACACAGTACTGTCCAGCTCAACCGCCCGTTTACATCTGTTCTGGCTTAAATATCTTGCCCAATAAAAAGTCCCGCGTGTGCGTCTTCGGAGACAGAGAAGGACGAGAGCTTTTCCGCATAGGATGAAGCTGCAGGACGAGAGGCCTCGTTGATGAGGAATCAGGCCGAAGGAGTGTTTCTGTCAAGCCTGTGACCCGCGTCTGCCCCCTCCCTCCAGGTCCAGGGATGGGTGGTATGAAAGGAAAGGGGGCCGCAAAACAGGCCGTCGGCTTCTGAGTAGGGGACAAGGTATGATCAGGGCGTCGAACGGCGCCTCGAAGGGGGGTTGAGAAACTACAGATCGCGGACCTGCCTGCGACTCTGTGGATGTCTGATGCTTTGTCACAAGAATAGCTCGGCCAGAGCAAGGGTTGCAGGGCGGAGGGCCCCTGTCATGCCCAAGCTGTCGGCATGCGTCATGCCACGCCGTGACATGCTCGGGCTAGATGAACAAGATTCGTTGGACACATCTTCTTCGGATCCAACCATTGCTCGATGC